ATATATAATATAATATAATATATGTATATATATATACATATGTGTGTGTGTGTGTGTGTGTGTGTTATTGTAAACATTCATTAAAGTCTCTCACTGTACTAAGAGTAACTTATAAGTATATTACTCATATGGGTAGGCAGCCAGCGTCTGTAATACAAAAACTGCTCAGCTCGGCCAAAAACTCCCTGAAATCCGACATTTTTCTTCAGTGAGTTCATTCTGAGATTAAAGTCGTTTATGTCAGATTTCTGCCTTTTTCTCTGATCGTGTTTGATGACCTCAGTAGTTCTAAAGTCCAAAGCTGATCAGTACTGACTGCTAACAGACTGGACGGACTAGTATAGACCTTTATGTGTTCTGAGGAACATAATAACATGACAGTAAACATGAGGGGTAAACGGCAGCATACACTGAACAGACGTGGAACATCTACTTAACCGGACTCCGGCTTCAGTCTGCGCATGCTCTCTGCGGTCGCCAAACCTGGGCTGTGGACGCAGGGAGGGATAGAGAGGGCAGCGAGAGAGCGAGCGGCGATCCAATGAGCAACATGTTGCATTTTCTATGTCTTCTTTTCCACGATGCACTTTAGGATTTCAATAAGATGCGTGTGTGTTTCCAGATAACCAGTTTCCTTCTCGCCGTAAACTTTTACAGCCGGCCAGTGCGAGCTCAGGGTGAGTGTGTGCCTTATGTTCTTAAACTCGACCAACTCAGATGTTCGTCTGTTTAATGCTGTGCTGAAAAACCTCTGACTGTGTTTATTCAGTGACAACTGGCACCGCATTCACCGTAGAGATGAACTAACACTCCGCTGTCTTCATACTCTTACAGCCGGACACTTTAATGTTGGTGAATGTAGACACCACACAAAGTCGTCATCAGGTTTTATTCTGAAACTTCAAAGTGTGTAAACGTCCAAACGTGTTATTGTGGTTCACTGTTGATAAATAACAAAGTTGTACTGGTTCACACTGCGAGCTACCGCCCACCGAGGAATGTGTAAGTGTGGAAATAACGGTTTAAACACTCACACACACACACACACACACACACACACACACTTGGAAAGTTGGAGCTCCACAGTGATTGGAGATTTTCCTACGCGACAGGATTTAGTGGTAAATGTTGTGCGATCATCTAAATAACATGAATATCGGTGAAAGTATTGAGGCGGACGTAGCTTCACCCTCCTGCGACGCGACGTATCGAGTTGACGTCTTGTTTTAAATACACAGAAGCCTCCGAGCTTTTAAGCACAAAGATCAAAGTTAATATAAACTCTTTCCCAAACGTATCCTTTGGTCATTTATGAATGTTTGCTTTCAGAAGAGCAGATTTGTTCCTGCGTCCGGGTGAAGGACGGAAACGGGGCGGACATAGCGGGTCGGGTGGGCGAGTTAAAAGGGATCGACGCGTTTAAGTGTATATACAGAGCTGCTGGGAAGAAGTGTGTCTGTGTTTTATTTATCAGACAAATCACTGTTCAGCTCGGCTTCTATAAATGTTCCCGACACGCGTGTAACTTAAATAAACTAAATGAAGTCGTGAGTTAGGTCTCTGTCTGTGCGCCGCAGATGCTGTTTGAATAAAAGAAAGCTGTAAACATGAATGAAGAGCAATCATTAATGCTTTTCATCAACTCTGTGGAGTTTGGTCTTCTCTAAAGGGGCTGTAGCAGTGTGTGAGCTGGAGCGCTTTGATGTTCAGCACATGGGAGCAGGATGTGGATTTGCTCTGGCTAAATGTCTGTTTTTTTCACCGCTTGCACATCTGTCCTCAACATGAAAGAAACAAAAGACTCAGATCCTCGTTCGGGTGCGTATTGTTGGGCAGGCCGGCGACAGGAGTAAGGCTCTCACCATGTGTCAAAGTGATGTTTTCTTCGCACTTTGTGTAGAGATTCCACACATTATTTTTGCTCTGCTGAGTTTTTTGCGAAATTTCTCTCGTCTGCTGGCTCGATGTGATTCAGTTGTGGAGGCTAGCCACGAGAAACGCATCTGGAACCAATTTGAGTCCACGCAGCCCGAGGGGAAGAGGAGGGATGTAAATGGCAGCCCTTCTCTTTCCATGTCCACTGTGAGCAGACGTGAGTCTCCGAAGCTTAATTATAGTTTGGTGAACAGCAGATTAAAGTGGAGTTGCGTTTCTTGGCCGGGGTTTGGGATATTGCTGAATCGACTCAGAAATAGACGTTTTCATCCAGACAGAAAAACATTTTTTGCTTTTTGTCAGACTAAAAAATTAAAGATTAAAAAAATGAGAAAGAAATCCAAAAAAATTATAAAAGTAAACAAGGTTTGATTTGAGTTTTGCAGGGCAACGATCTGTTCTCAAAACATGCAGCAGGAATTATTATTTTATGTTGTATCGATCCTTTCCCTGCCGCTTATCCTTTTAAAGGCTTGCGGGGGTCTGGAGCCTATCCCAGCCAGGTGAGAGGCAGGGTGGACCCTGTCTGTGTCTATATGTCAGGTCGGGTCTTACACTCCACCTCTCTGGGGACTCCCAGGCCCTCCAAAGGCCTCTCTCCCCTCACCACACTCCCTGCCGGTGACTGATGCCCTCAGGGGTCGGTGCGTTGGTGGTTCTTGGTGTCCGGGGCTGGGCGCTCAGGTACCAGCTCACTCCTGGTGGCTACTTGGCGGAGCCTGGTGCCTGTTGCTCTGTCAGGCCTCTTCTGGGGCAAAGGGGGCCCTCGGGCCTCTACGTTATAACTTTATGACAGCATATCATACATTTTTCTTAAACTCCTCACTTTGATAGTTCCAGCATTCCCAGTGTTTGGACAGAGATCGCTGACCCCCGTACTTTGCTCCCCAGAGACGTAGTTGAAAACACATTGCTATCAAAGGCAGCAGCAGCATAGCTGTAGATTGTAAACACACATTTTCAGCACAAGAATGAATCTCAGAGCAACACATTATGATGTTCATATGTCGGGTGTCATTAAACACCATTTGGTTAGCAGCTGTATTGCAGATGCACCTACAACCAATTTCTGAACTCTTTAAAAGTTGTATTAATGACTTTCATTTTGTGTAGTGACTTTGCAGCAGTGCAGGCAGGAGGATTTATTGTTGATTCACTTGCAGACAAAGAATCCAGCTTCAAGGTGCATCTGTGCATCTTTATGCTTCAGTAATCAGGCTGAACAGCAAGTCTAAAGACAAGCAAGCTACTGCAAGGCAACCTAAACTATTCAAAACAACTGACATGCACACAAAGTGAAGCGGTCACCAAAAATACACACTACACCCTATTTATGTTACCTTAACGAGTGAAAGTGTTTCCTCTTTACTAGCTGAAACGTGCCAGTTGTAACTCCAGGAGCAGACATGCAGTTATCCTACATTAAGTCATGATTCCTGCCTCCAGTAGGAAACACACTTTAGTAGGAAACACACTTTAGGGGCCTTTCTTGGTCAGCAACTCTTCCCATTCCCGTCTTGTCAATGAAAAGCCACAGAGTCATAAAGTTGTGCTTTATGTCAGACCACTTAGGTCTTTCCTACAGTATTTGCTGAAGCAGGTATTCCTCCATGAGAGATCAGCCATAGACTGGAGCTCAGCAGTGACGTGCAGATGGGATCCTTTTGAACTTCCCTTAGGAAGGAGGGAGGAAGATGTCTTTTATAAGAAGAGATGATTGGGGGCAACGTTCCCTGTAATGTTTCATGTGTCTGAACACACAAACTCCCTGAGCTTGGACCACTGTGAGCGACAGCAGACGTGTGCACTGTGGTCACGCCAGCATCAAATCATCCAAGTTACATGTTTATTAAAGTAATCAAATTACAGCATTTATGTTAGACTACTTTTAATTAACTGCTTTAGCCCACTTACAATGAAAATTTAAAACAAATCTTGTTCATGACCTGTGTAGTATGTTAACACTATTGGAAGGAAAAATCACTTGAACTCCAATTTTGAAAACAAAACTTTATTTTTTATAAAAAAATAAAGCTCTGACTGTATGATGAGTCTGTGGTCTGGGAGAGAGTCTGTAACTCTGTCTGCAAATACAGTAAATAATGACCAATGTTGGGCAATTAATTATATAGTTACTTCTTCAAAAAAGTAACTGAGTTTTGGAAACAACAAAGTTTTTTGCAGCTGTTTACCTAAAAATGCAGCCAAGGCATTTTTTAAACAAACATTTCAAACTATTTACAGAACAATCAGCTGTTCTGCATCAAATCTGATGTCACACAAATTATTTACTCCAAAAATCATTTCTGTCCACTATGAGATGAAGGAGAACAACAGCCTGATACCTGCAGGCCTGACAGCAGCAGATGTGTCACTGCTGTAACACCTGTAACACTCAGCAGTCGCCTCATTGTTCTGACACACAACAACAACACTATTGACTACACTACACACTAACTACACAAGATTAGGTGGCATCGTTCTGATCCCATACGGGAGCAGCCAGTCACTGACTAAAACTGCAGAACAGAGTTGTTAACGTATTTATTTTAATTTCAATTCAGGTTAGATTTTTTTTGTGTGCAACACAGATTTATTTCTGCGCAGAGACGTGGCAGCAGTGCGCAGCTTAGAGGGAACAGTGATTGGGGGTTAATGGTTCTAATCATTGGGGTCTTCACATGGCTTAGTGATTGTTGTTGGTGCAGACAGGCCCTTCCACTGCTGCTCTGTTTTTTGCCACTTTCAGTTTGCTCCATGTCTCTTCTGACTGTTTCTCCTCATATTTAGACGAGTTAAGTTCCAGCTTTTATTCTTCAAATCATCCTGGACTCTGTGGCTCCATTAGAAACTAGCCGGCCTAAAGCTGAGCCTGATGACAGAAGCTTTGCTGTCAGAAGGCAACGTCACCGAGCAGAACATCGGTGGAAAAAAAGATGTCATTTCAAAGTTTAAACCACTGCTGGCGTCACAACCAAACATGTTGCAAATAGGATTTCTGCCGACAGTCATAACTGTGCTCGTGTGTTATTTAACACTTTTGTTCTGAATACTCCACATAATGTCTGTTTGTACGCCTCTCCAGCCATCTTCAGTGCTTATTGAAGATGTTTCCACCACCAGGGCTGGTATCACAGACCCATCTGTCCCTCTGTGATCCTGTCCCTGACGACTGTTTAAAATAAAGTTTGCTGAGTATAGGGCAGTCTGTTCTTACCTTATTAGCAGCAGTCTGTTCTCTGGTGAGGTTCCTGCAAAATGCAAATGTGCAGCAGTGCAGCCACTGCTTAAGAAGCCTGGTCTTGATCACGCTGTCCTGGCTCATTACAGACCGATTATAAGCTGCAGTTCTTTTATAATGTTTTCTAAATATTTAGTTGAAAAATATTTTCCAGATGAGCATCAAATCTGCATCAGTGAGGGTCTCTGACAACATCCTTCTTGCGTGTGATTCTGGTAACCACGTTGTTCTGGTTCTGCGTGATTTAACCGCTGTCTTGAACAGTAGACCAAAACATTTTAAAATCTCGATTACATCACTCAGTGGGCACTTAAATGCTTCAGGTCTCATCTGGCAGAACTGTGAACCTTCTCTATTCTGAAGGCTCAGTTTTAGGGCCACTGCTCATTTTGTTATACCTGCTGCCTCTGGGTCCTTAGCTTGGTTGGCTTTAAGCTTTTTACATTTTAATGAAAAGAAAATAGAGGTGGTGTTTAGAGCCAGTGGTCCCTGTCAGCCCTC